CATCATCATCATCATCATCATCATCATCCATGCAGCGATGCTGACAGACTCTACTTACCAAGGAGCATTGGTGGGCATGGAATGTTACGAGTACACCAGACAGAAGAAGAAAAAAGGGCATTGGAAGAATATCTGAAGGGCAGTGAAGAAGATGCACTGAAACTAGTACACCATGAAGGCTTACTGAATACCGAAGAGACCAAACTGGCCTGCAAGAAAGACCAAATGAAGAAGAGAAAAGAGACATGACAAGGCAAAGTATTACATGGTCAGTACACAAAAAAACTAGCAGGCAAAGCAGATAACAACAAGACCTGGCAATAGCTTAAGAGCAGGAAAGTTGAAGAAAGGGACAGAGAGGCTAATCCTTGCTGCACAAGACCAAGCCTTAAGAACAAATGCATATAAAGCCAGAATTGAGAAGACAGCAACAGACAGCAACCACCGCCTCTGCAAAGAAGCTGGAGAAACAGTGGACCACCTAGTTAGCTGCTGCAAGAAGCTCGCATAGACTGACTACAAACAACAGCATGACAAAGTAGTAACAGAGGAATATTTGCAAAAAATAGCACTTTTGTGGGACCACGAAACAGACAAAGTAATAGAAAATGAAGAAGCAAAGGTGCTCTGGAACTTAGAATTCAAACTGACAAGCACCTGCCACACAACACCCCAGACTTAACAATTGCTAATAAGAAAGACAAAAAAGGCTGGATAGTGGACACTGCAATGCCTGGAGACTGCAGAATAGGCAAGAGAGGACTGGAGAAAATCACAAAATATAAAGGCCTGCAGACAGAAGTAGAACTGTTCCCTGGAATTTTAAACTTCATTATTAGCATTTTAAAAAGGTGTTGTTAGCATTTTTTAACATAGCAATCTAGCATGTTTTTCTATCTTTAGCAAAAGCATGTTTTTTCCTTCTGGGCCAAGGCCATTTCTTTTGGTATATTTGAGAACTTGCCTTTTCAGCAACTAAACGATAGAGAGCGTGTTCTGAAAGCCCTTGAACACACTTGCAAGTTTTAAACATACAAACCCAGCAGGGAAAGGGAGTGACATAACCCATACATTTGCCACTTCTGGAATGTTATCTGGAATCAATGTTTTCTATTGTTCAATTCTCATATGTTATCAATGTCTTTTATGATTTGATTACTTGCTTTCTGGCATATCACATATACTTAGTGTATGTATCATTTGTTTCTGTACCCTATAAATAGGCTTGAACACCCCCTTGCCCCCCGCTTAATAAACGCTTTTCGCTTTGCCTGAATTATTGGATGGTTCATATTTTCAGGTAAGCTAAGAAGCCACCTTTCCAAAGGTAAAATGGTTTTCTCTCCCAGATTCAGGGAAAAGGTCTTCAGCTCCATGCCACTTGGGGTGCCTGAGTTTTAAAGGCAACAGAACAACTCTGGGAAATGAAAGCAAAGATAATGCCAATAGTTATAGGCGGCTTAGGTGCAATCCCAAAACATCTGGAGCACCACTTGAAGACCATTGGCATTGACAAAATCACCATCAGTCCATTGCAAAAGACAGCTTTACTTGGAACAGCTCACATCCTGTGACAATAACTTTAACACCATCAAACAACAACTGCCTATCCCAGGTCCTTGGGAAGGACTTGATAGGCAGGTAAAAATGCCAAATCCAGTCTAACCATCTGGCTGGCTGTGTGACCATAACAACAATAACAATACTGTTCAAATCTCCCTTCACTATTCCTTTCAGGACCAGCCCTTTCATTAGCTGCAATAAAGTGGAACAATGGCAAATTGAGGCCAAGATATCATCCCCTTTCCTCCTGTTCTGTGTCTGTAGCACAACACTTTCAAGTTAGCTTCCCATCTTGACTTAGCTGAACTGCTCTGAGAAGATTCTCAGAGTCACATTGGTGAAGGGACTGTGGTGCCTCTCTACACAAGCCATCACCATAGACATTTTGCAATCTGCCAGGATGTCCTCAGAATGACCTTTATAGAATAGTCAACTAGCTACCCAAAAGGAGATGAAGTGGCAGTGCTACTGACCCAAAGGAAAGGGTGCATTGGAAGCGGAGGGAGGATGACAAGTTCTCCTCTATCCTGAGGTGGTGGGGCATCTTCCCACCTCATATATAAGTTCTCCTTGGTCCCCAAGTTTCATTTTATCATGAGTGTTTGATGGCCAATTCCATGAGATTCCTCTGTGGGATGATTCCTATTATTTTATTAATGGGCTTGGGTTAAAATTATTCCACTATTTTTCAGTGACTAAAATATTCATTAAAATAAATTGCGTGAATTGCCATTGCTATTCTTCAAGCTCTGGAACCCCAGAGAAATTTGCAAGCTTCCTAGTGTCTCCAGAAGTTCACATTCTACAAATATCTAGCTGTTTTTTTATGCATATATTGATTCTAATACAATCAAAAGTTGTTTGATTATGCCTGGATTGGGCTAGCCTAATTTTATGTGATCTTTGTCCTGACTCAGAAGATCTTTGTAAACCTCAGACCTCTAATAAGATCTACCTTTGTCTTTCTAAATAATCAGCTGCTTAGGTGAAGAAAAGAGGTTGTCAGGAAGAGAAAGAGGATGAGAGAGAGAAAAAAGGTCTATAAAAAGAGAGACCACTCTCACATCACCTCAATAATTTGTGGGTTTGGGTTCACCCATCCATTCCCTCTCCACTATTGGCCTTCAGTTACAAAAGGTGGGCCATCAGGACATCAACTGATGCTCAGAGAATAATGTCCCACCCTGATGATGTTGATCTACTGAATACCTTTCAAAACTGCCAAAAGACATTTTTCTGTACTACTGAGACCATAACAACTTGGTTAGCAATGCTGTTTTAACTCTTGTTAACCACAAGGAGCATAAACACCCCATGCCTTTGAAAACAGTGGGAAATTGCCCATACCTCAGAGGAAATCACACCTATCACTTGGTGAAAAATCTCTGGAAAAGTATGGTTGGGAAGAATTTGTTTACTTCAACCAACATGTTCTCAGATCATGTACCTATTTTTATCAATGAAATATTGGGAGATGTGGAAACCAACATTTTGATAGCACTTGCAAACATTTATGGTCTTTCAAAAGCAAATGTAACAAAAACCATGGGAGATATGTTAAAAATATTAAGCTCCTCTTTTGACATGACAGAAATAAAGCTTGATGCAAAATAGGCCTAATAAAGACCAGCTAGTGAGTTTATGCACAACAGGGTGGGCTTTCATTCTCTGTCCCCCTAATTCCTACCTCATTTCCTTCACCACTAGTACTTAACATATTCAATTGTTTTGAAACTATCACCCTAAATGATTTTCTTGACAAAGATTATTTCCACTTCCAACTGTCAACAGCTTCTCTTGGAACTTCTAACTTCCTTCACCTGATTGGCTCCTGATGTGCTGTTAGAATTTCTATGTATTGTTTCAAAGGAAAATCATACCACTTGGATTAATTCTATTTATCCTCCCGCACCAATAGGAGAAGCTATAGTAAGTCTGTGTGTTCTCTGCTTATTCATGTCATGAGAGATTGAGTCCTTATCTGTAGACAGGTTCTGTAGCTTCCCAATTCTATGGCAGTTTAGATCACTTTGATGGATTCCTTCAGCTTCTGCTCTTCAAGAAATTCCAGGGATAGTAAATTATCAAATTCCCACCCATGGTCACCAATAGTCAAGGGATCATGAAAGTCCCTCCAGTGTTTCAATTATCATAAAATGTTGCAGTGTCCTCTCACACATGCATGTGTGCATGAGTAGGGGTGTGTAGATAGATGTGGGTTCAAAATAAGATTTACGGGAAATTTGTGCAGGCAAATAATCCTCCCAAATCTGTTGGGCATGCCAGCTTGGTTATATTTTATCGTTCTCCAGAGTCAATATATTTCTGAATGTATGATTCAAAGGATTGTTCTTTCCTAGAATTATCTATTTCATTGCTTTTGACCTCATCCTGAAATCATGTACGTACATTCTTAAGAAAGATAGTAAAATAAATACTAGGTTTCAAGTTTGTTCTCATTCTCTCACAGGTGATCTTGAGTTATTCCACAACAATGCACACAAACGTGGCTGAATCCAAGAAAAGTGTGCACTTAACAACCAAAGAAGTCAGGGAATCGGAAGCCGTGGAGGAACCCTCAAAAACTGTGAGTTTGGACAATGGCTTGCCAAAACTTACCATAAGATGACAATCAAAGCTGATATCATTGTTTTCAAGGTTTAAGACAGAGCTGATATGTAAGCCTAGATTTCAAGGCCTTGCAAGATATTTTGATTAAACTTCAGTAGAACTATTATCTTATTACAAACGATAATACAAAATCAAGACATGTAGTTTCTAGATTGGTTTACAGGATCCATGGCATAAAAATCAGCAACCGCAAAAGCAGAAGAAAAGAGATAGTAAAAGAGCCAAATGTTTTAAACCCAACTCTTCTAGAAATTGGTAAGGTGGCAAAAAGGTCTTTCTCTTGATATGGAATTCTCATAAGAAAGGATATTGGGCTGTTGTCTGTTGGGGGGGGGGGAATCCATGAACAGAGCACCCCAATAAAGAAGGGCCTTAACGCAGCAACGTCAAGAGGAACTAAGCTCCTATGTGTTATGGCATTACTGATGGTCCAGTGGAGAATCATTCCAGATCTATAGTTTTCTATGAAATACACTGTTCTTTGGAATTATGTGTGACCCATGAAAAGGGATGATCTTACTGTGATACTGTGAAACACATTAAAATGAAGTTAAACTAGAACGGGACAGTAATTTGGATTTATGTGGAACAGAACTAATAGTTTCAGCAAGAGTGAAGAACTCATCCTTACCCATAAAATAAATTGATCTATCCTCTGCATAGTCAGGATGGCAGCCGCAGATCAAAGCACATGTACATGTATGTAACATGAATGTCCATACAGAAGGGATAGGGCTTCAATAACATGTCATGGATACCACCTAGATTTGGGGGGGGGGGCAAGTTGGTGGGTGCAGCATTGCAGTCCTTGTTCCCCCATTTGTCCATGTGTGCAGAATCAATGCACAAACAAAAGGAATGGGTTTTGGATTGCAGGGCTGCACCCCCCATCTTTCAGATTTTTACACAGTCCCGTGAATACCCCTAGGTATGGATATTTTTCTGTGTGCATGTGGTGGCTCCATGATTATGACAGTGCATAGGATTGTTTTAAATTGATTTAGTTAAAAAAAAACAAACCAAAAACCTTCTATATAGCAGGAGTTAATTTTGTGAACAAAGATCTCAACATCTAGAACCCATCTTTCTGCTTCTCAGACCAGAATGTATTGTTGTTATTATTTATGTTACAGCTGCAAATATACACAATTCACTTTGAATAAATAATCTTGTCAATTCAATTCATTTCACACTATTTTTCCAATAGGAACTGACAAAGAAGCTCGTTTGGGTTTCACTGGCCTCCACCACCATAACTTTCCACTATGGTTACAATATCTGGATAGTTTATTCTCCTGGTGTGGTAAGATCTTTCTGCAGTGCAGCTGACTTCTTAAAGAAGGGGATTTTGCCTAAGATTCAATCCCCAAAGTAATTCTGAAGTTTTTAAACTTGCCCAATACCTCTTTTTACAAGAGATGATTTTTAATTTATGAGTTAACAGTTGAATATTTCACAATGTATTCCATGTTCCTGCCCTGTAAGAAGTATGGAATTATGAACTGGGTATACAACAGGAATAGAATTGTTTTCCCTAAAAATTATACTTAGTTTTATACTCATGACATAGAAGGGAAAGTGGTCACACTGTAATATGTTTGAAGTTGGAGTGGAGATTATCTTCACTAAGAAACCTATTGGATGGATGGATGGATAGATAGATAGATAGATAGATAGATAGATAGATAGATAGATAGATATACACACATACATATATAGGATATAT